GTAGTAGTAGTAGTAGTAGTAGTAGTAGTAGTAGTAGTAGTTAGAAGAAATAATAATAAAATAAAAATAATAATAATAATAATAATAATAATAAAAAGGGAAAAATGCCACATTAATCGTCGTTGGGTAATTTTGCAATCGGACAATGCAATATTTGTCTTTTTTTTTCTGCAAGAAAATAAAAACAAAAATTGCAATATTTCCTTTTTTTGTTTGTTTTTTTTCTATTTCAAGCAGAAAGGTTTAGGCGAGCTTGATCGGAAAAGAAGAAGGTCCTTCCCTTTTTATTTTTTCGTCTCTTTTCTTCTCTTCTCTCAGGGTTCTCTTTTTAAAAAAAAAAGAAAAAAGGGTCCTGAGCAAGAACCTTTTGCCAGAGGGGAAGGGTAAAAGAGAGAACAAGAAAAAAAGAATAGAAGAGAGAGAACACGTTTTTCTTCGTATATACTGTATATATATATATATATGTATCTCTTTTTATATGTAGCATATAACGAATATATATGTATATATGTATACTGTATATATATACTGTATAGAGCAGGGGTTAAAGCATTGATCTGCTAAGAAGCATCACTAGAAGACTATCGCCAAGGATGTTCCTTCTTACTATTATCTTATCTTTTTTTTTTTTATCTTATCTTCTCTATTAACATCTTTAATACAATGAAAACAAAAAAATGTAGCCTTAAATTTAACCCTTTCGCTACTTGGCCCTCCATAAGATGCTACTGAGTTAATACGAGCTACTATAGTAGCCTTCCATAAGATACCACTGAGTTACTATGAACCACTATAATGGCCCTTTATAAAATACTACGTATTTTACTATGCAATTATAGCACATGAAATATCCCATTATGGAAGTTTAATTTGATTGTTTAGTTTCTTTCAATTAAAAACTGTTAATATCAGCAACCAAATTACTTAAAAATAAAGTGCAGTTTCGATGCTGGATTAGCAGCCCGTAGCTACGAAATGGGTTAAATACTCGAATTATTTGTAAGAAGTAACATCCGAAGAGAGAGAAAACAACGAAAAAAAAAACTAAAAAAGTAATCAAAGAGCCCTAGCGAACTAGCCTAAAATTGTTCATTATTTAGATAACTTGTAAAAGGGTTTATCTTTCGATGTTTGTGAAACTGGAACGGAGACACGCATTAGTTTTCTCGTATTTGGGATCGTTCGTACGATGCACGGTCATTCTAATTCGCGTTTATGTACACACGTGTGTTACTTAGTACGAATATTATGGTTCGAGTGCGAATCTAATAGATTAGATATACAAAACATATATATATATATGTATGTATGCATGTATTATATAATATATACATATATATATGTATATAGGATGCTCGTCCTAGCACGCTAACATTTCATTTTCTATTACGCTACACGCTTGCCACCGTTATCAAAGTTAATAACGCAAAAAAGGGGGAAACTTTTGATATGGTGGTGGTGGTGGTGGTGGTGGTGGGGGGCTGGGGGGCTGGGGTTAGTAAGGGGAATTGTTTCTGAGGGTGGCACGTATTTAGAGAAAGATAGTAATATAAAAGATCGAAAGAAATTTGAGAAAAAAGATTAGTAGGCTTGGGCCAGACTTACGTGAAAGAAAATAGCGTGGAAATGAGGATAAAATTGCAGCGGTTCGTATGAAAAAAGAAAGAAAAGATAGATTACAGAGTGTTAAATTAATTTCTTAAATATCTTATTGATTGTGGTGGGATAAAACGACGACGGGGGTCGCGTTTCTTTTTTTTTTTTTCTTTTTCTTTTTCTTTTTTGCGACGAAAAGTTAATAATAATAATAATAATAATAATAATAGAAAATTTCTCTAATAACGCGTTAAATGATGGCGTGCTTCGTTAACGAATCCAGTCGTGAAAAAAAAATTATTCATACTTCTCTAAATACTATCTTCCTAAATATTATTCTTAAGAAAAATCATTATTCATTCGTTGAGTAGTAGTAGTAGTAGTAGTAGTAGTAGTAGTAGTATATATATATATGCTAGTATCGAGTATCCAGGGAAATTTTGATTCAATCGATACATCGATTGATCCAATTGTCAATTGGATTTGTCAAGAAAAATTCGTCAATTCTTAAACACATAACAACGATAACATTATATTTTGATCCTATCTAATGTTGATTTGGACCGGATTCGAATATTATTTCGAAAAAAATATCGTCTCTCGTAAAAAGTAAGAATACTTTTTTTTTTTCTTTCTTTTGGTATTGCATTTTAGTTTAGTTTCATTTAAAAAAACAAAAACAAAAACGAGCTCCCTTTTTTTTCTTTTTTTTTTTTTATTGCGCACGCGAACTCGCGATTTTTATGAAATCGAATGATGTACTTCGACCGTTTGAAACAACAACAACAACAACAACAACAACTGTAATTTAATAAACCAAGTTTTTTGTTTGTTTGGTTTTTTTTTTCTTTTTAATTAAACGCACGAGCCTACGAAAACGTTTTGTTTTTTTTTCTATTTTTCTCTCTAATGAAAAAACGTGAAAGATCGAAACGTTTTCGTGAATTATTGTTCAAACGAATTGTTAAAATGAAAATAATTTCCTTGAAACATTGATTTCCTTCTATTATTTCCTTTACCCAATTTTCTTCGTTACATCGATACGAGAAGGATGACGATGATGTCTCGAGGTAGATCGTCTAAAGTACGTGTCCTTACCAGTTCCTCGTCGTTCAGCGTAGCCCTTGGCACCGCTGATGTTAGCCCTGCGGCGTTCCTCTTCGTCGCCGCCATTGTCTGAGAAAAAAAGGAATCAAAATTAATGTGGATCTGATTCAGCTTTAATGCCTTCCGGTCTTTCCATTGTATAGACAGGGAGAAAGAACGGAAATAAAAAGTCAGAGACAGTCAAGATAGAAGAGTATAATAATGGAAGAAATAGATAAAGAGAGAAAGAGAAAGAGAGATAGAGAGAAAGAGAGAGAGAGAAATATGAAAAATAAGAGACGAAAAAAACGTAAACGATTGAAAGAAAGTTGTGAAAGAAATGAAAAAAAAACAAACAAAAATGTAAGAAAGCTAAAACACGAAAAAACATTTTATCGATATATCGTACAAATATAGTTGCTGATACGTAGAATAATAATAGATAATTATTATCAGTGATAAATAGAAGATAAATATGAAACAAATTGTGATAAATAATCTAATGATCAAAATTTACAATAATATATATTGAAATATTATACAAGAATTATAGAAATAGTTGCTAATACGTAGAATAATAAGAAATAATTATTATCAGTGATAAATAGAAGATAAATATGAAACAAATTGTGATAAATAATCTAATGATCAAAATTTACAATAATATATATATATATATATATATATTGAAATATTATACAAGAATTATAGAAATAGTTGCTGATACGTAGATTACCCCTTAAGCAGCAATGATTTTGAAAAAAAACGGTACAAAAAATCCATTCTTTTTTTTTTACATAAAAACATAGTTTTGACAAAAAAAAAAAAAAAATGAAAAAAAAAAATGCAGAAATAATCAATATTTTAATGTTAATTTTGGATTTTGTTCTACATTGCAGAGAAGAGCCGAATATTGCGATATTACACGTACGTCGGTTTTTTAATCTTTCCTTTCAAACTACTATTTCGGAAAAAACATTTTTCAGAAAAACAAAAAACAAAAAACAATTCTTTTTCTTTGCTTTTACATTTTTATATTTTCAATTTTTTATTATATAAAATTCATAGAAATATAAAATAAGTTAAGTTAGAGTTAACTCGAGCGTGCTGCTTATAAGGTGTATTAATAAGAAAAAATTATTATCAGTGATATAAATGATAAATATGAAAATATTGTGGAAAAAAAAAAAAAACAAAAAAAATCTAACGATCAAAATTTACAAAGATATATTGAAATATTATACAAGGAATTATAAAAATTGATTTAATTTGAATAATACGAAGATAGACATTTTGTAAGTTTCGATTGGCAATTGAAAAAAAAAAAAAAGGTGCGAAAGTAAAATTAATTCAATGAATTCTACCGTGCTAAATATTTGTATATTTAATAAATTAAATTGTAATATCGAACAGATGATATTTTTATGTACAATGAATGAACAAAAAATATGTATTTTGTTCTATGTACATGGAATCGTGCTTTAGTGATTCTTATGTTGTATTTTACGTAAAAAAAAATTTTAATAAAGAAAAAAATAAAGGTGTATGTGTGTGTGTGTGTGTGTATGAGAGTGTGTGTCAGAGAGAGAGAGAGAGTCAGACTCTTCGATATTTATTTCTCTTCATCTTTCGTATTCGTGGAATATATACATAGATATATAAATGTGAGAGCACCATGCGAAAAAGAAAAAATAGAACAAAGCTCGTATGTAAATGACGTCGAGATAACTTTTTCTCTTTTTTTTTTTATTTCTTTTTTCTTTTTTCTTTTTTTTATTTATTCGAGAGTCGTCAAACGAGATCGATCTTTCCATGAAAGTTTTGAGATTTAAAAACGAATGCTCTTCGAAAATTTTCTGATGGTTCGCGTTTTCATCACAGATTTTACGAAAAAAACAAAATATCCCCTTTTGAATTATTGATGAAGTTGAAAAATAGAAATTGTGAAAATAGACAAATTGTTTCTTTCATATATAATAGAAAATGGTCTCGATGCATTGTTCTCACAATTTTCCAAGTAACAGTCTTCTCTTTAATGGATATTGAATTTACATTATTTTATTTTATTTTTTTTTTCCTACATATTCGCTCATATTTACATTTAAATGTGTATGAGTAGCAGTAATGTTTCAAAATGTTAAATAAAAAAAAAAAAAAGAAAAAACCTGAGAGAAAAAAAGGAAAATGAGGATTGTGAAATAAGGAAAGAAAGAATGTATGAATAAAATCAAAATAATAAAATGAAAATAAAAATAAAATGTTATGCGAGTAAAAGATGAATCGAACGATGAAAAAAGAAAAAATAGATAACAACAGAGAAAGAGAGAGAGAGAGAGAGAGAGAGAAAGAGAGGGGAAAGGGGAAAAGGCAGAGAAAGGGGAATTATATGAAGAGATAGAAAGGGAAATAGAATATATATATATATCTCTATGATGAAAATCTAATCCAATTAGTTTATAGATGCCCCTGGTAGGTGTGGCACACGGAGATTTGCGGTTTCGCGTAGATTTCAATTAAGATATTATGTACGGGGCCCCGTGCACGGTGCATGCGCTACTGTTTTTCTCTTATCTGCAATTCGTACTCTAATGCTTTGCACTAATTTCTCGTTATTGTTCATATATATCTATATATATCTATATATCTATATATATTTGTATATATTATCGTGGTTTTCGATCTTATCTACTCTATATGGCGTTTCCTAACGTGTTGTATAATTAAAAGCGTGCTTATAGTACTTTTTGCACGGGGCACCGTTTATTTATTTATTTATTTATTTATTTATTTATTATTATTTATAATAATCTTTTTTTTTTTTTTTTTTTTAAATGATTCTGAAGTTTTTTTTCCTTCATTATTTCATTCATCGAACGCATAGAAAATTTCTGATCGTTTATTTATTATTCGATTTAATCCTAAATAATAAAATCAAAGGGATTTGTTTGTTTTTTTTTTTTTTTTTTTTTTCATTTGATATTACTCGTTCGTATATAATAAATCAATTTTGTCAGATATATTATTTAGTTTACGTGCTATTATGTCATTAATTATGATCAAAACTATATTTTGCTACGTCCATTTAATTTGTTCTCTTATACGTGCATGCAAAAAATGTTACGAAACGACTTAACGATAATAGATATATATTACTTAGGTATGTTAGTGCATGATGTTACATGCACTAACGAATATCATAAGTAAAGCGTGAGAAAGGCATCGGTGTATCGATTTTTTCCCTCGAGAGTGAGAGAGAGAGAGAGAGAGAGAGAGAGAGATGGAATAATCTTAAGATTATTTATTAAGTTTAATCTTGAATATTATCTAGCTAAAAGCAAAATCGTTTTAAGATACTCTCCTCGGATCTCTCGTGAAATTATCGATGAAAATAAATTTTGCGCCAATAAAGATTTAATCTTCAATCAGGTATCCCAAGGTGCTTGGTAAATTATAAATAAATAAAAAAAAAAAAATGGAAAAAATAGTAAGAATAATTTGAGTGATGTTAATTGCAGGAATGATACAAAACGTTGCATTCACTACTTACTCCCACACACTCCCACATCCCTCCTAATCCCTCAACCCAATCCCTTTTCTTGACGTATTGCGTTATTACACAGGAAAAGCATCAAATCATCTGCTGCGTGCAAGCTACATTATCCTTTATTATTACGATGATGCATATTCATATGAAAGTCAGCTGTGGCCCGTACACCAAAAGCATCGACCTTGATTAAATGTACTCATTCACAGGTGCAGTATTGCAATTAACGTATACTGCTGTTTGCAGTTTGTTTCTTTTAATTACTATTAAGAGTGAAATGAATCAAATATCTAATGAAAACACGTTGCTTTCAGGTACGGATTTTTATTGAAACGAACAGCCTTTTGAAAAATCAAATGTACCAAAAGCGAATTATTTCTCAAGCAATGCATAGGATTACAAAAAAAAAAAAAAAGAAAGAATACACAAAGAAGGATAATAAATGTTGTGAAATTACGAGCAATCGCCATGCAACAACATTCATGCAAAGTTTATTTTAATTTTTTTTTTTTTAAATTATTTTTTTTTTTTTTTTTTAATTTTCTTTTTAAATAAAGTTCGCTAAGGAGGCATTTAATTAGTACCTTCAAGACCTGTAGGTAGAGTTTTTGAGAGGTTTTTTTTCAGTGAGTGGTTTAGTTTTTTCAGGTGTTCAGGTGGATACAACAATGGGCGCCACAGAGAACAAACAAAGAAAATAGCATTATATGCTGGTTAGTATACGTGTAAAATTTATTTTACCTCCATTACTAATTATACTTTTTTTTTTTTTATTTTAAATATATATATCTTTTTGTTTTTTTTTTTCTTCTTTTTTCTTTAACAAGATAAGATAGTTCAAAAGTTAGACACATTAGAAGGCACAGAGACAATGTTTAACGGACACGCGTAATCTTAACATGTCATTTTGAGAAATAATAGTCCAGTATTAAAAATTGAATATCATATAAATAAAATCAAATATTGTTATAAATTTGTTTAATAACAAATTGTTGTAAGTTTCAAAAGAATTCATTTAACTGGACTATTTTTTTTCTTTTTGATTACGATCAAAATTATCGGAATATGATGTTTGTTGCATTTGACGTAGTTTTATTATTTATTAAATATTTTATTAATCTCATATAAATAAAAAACAAAACAAAAAATCGTCATAAATTTGTTGTATAACAAATTGTTGTGTGTTTGAAAAGAATTCATTTAACTGGACTATTTCTTTTTCTTTTTGATTACGGTCAAAATTATCGGAATGTGATGTTTGTTGCATTTGACGTAGTTTTATTATTTATTAAATATTTTATTAATATATAATAAATATTATTAAATTTAATTATAATTGTTAAATTATTTTAATCATATAAATGATGTAATTGTTAAATTTTTTCTTTTTTTTTTTGTTTATTACATCAAATTTCGATAATTTAAAATGGTTCGTCGTTGATGACACCGGTGTTTAAAATTAAATCGACGTGTCCGTTCTCCGTTTGGCGAGGTAACGTTAGACACAACAATCAGATAGAAATTGTCGACACCGAACATACAGGGACACAGACAACGGGCTCGGGAAACTAAGGTGCCCTGAAGGGATTTCGAAAGGTTGGAAGTGTTTTAATTTAATTACTTAAATCATTTTAAATTTCAAGAAACGATTTTAAACATAACAACTTGCTTGCCGACTTTTTTCTTTTCTCTTGGTACGATCATATTACAGGGGAATCCTTTCTCTAAATTAATTATTTGTTTATTTATTTATTTATTTATTTTATAATTATCGCGGATAAATCGAAAGACGATGTGAAATTCATTGGAACGCACATTTCAACAAATTCTCGTCTGATATTTACAAACAAAATTGATTGTTTTGATAAAACTCGGTGTCAAATCTGTAAAACCCATACCAGGAATATTATTCCGATTATACAAAAAAAAAAGATAAAAAAAAATGAGGGTCGGGGGGGAAGTTGGAAAGAAAAAAAAACGAATATCGACGCGATGTTCTCGATTTCCGGTGTTGTTCTCGATTTCCGGTGGTTGTTCTCGTTCCCGTTCCCGTTCCCGTTCCCGTTTTCGTCATTTAATACGAATTACAAATGTGTCCTTTTCTTTTTTTTTTTGCTTTTTTGGACACTGTCGATCGATTTGAAAATGTCCGCGATTTTTATTTTGAAAATTTCAATTCATGAATAAAATACAATTTCCTACAAATTTTCAAGCTTCTTTACGTTTATTTCAATGTCTAACGATTCTCTTTTGATTTTATCCTAACGCCTGTTAATCAAAGATAGACTTTTTTTTTTTTATAATTATTAATTAGACGATGTAATACTGAAAACAAAATTGCAAACACATGTAATTATTGGGACGGAACATGTGTCATTGTATTTAATCGCGAGTTACCTTCAAGGTTTAATTTGAGATTGATTTTATTAACCCATTACTCGCCATAATACGAAAATGTAAAAAAAAAAAAAAAATTAAATTAAATTAATTGTATTGTAATTGTATTGTTAATTGTAATGATATTCATATTAAACTAAATAGAACTATTTTTGCAACAATTTTTTATTTTTTATTTTTAATGATAATAAATATGAATTAATAATAATAATAATATTAATTATTATAATAATAATTAATTTTAATATTATAATATAAACATTATTTTATATCATCAATTATTGATTATAAATAAAATAGTGAGAATAAGAGGTACGATTTCATGATTTTAACGAATATATTTTATTCTGAAGTTGCAGTTGGCCCAAAAAAAGGGCCATTCACGGGTAATGGGTTAACTAGAAAAAAAATTAGTTTAAAAAAATTATTTATTCGTAAGTTAGCCTTGTAGGTAAATCATTTGTAAAATAAATTGAATTTACGACAAGTCTGAATTATGGTTGAGTTAATCGTCGTCGTCGTCGTCGTCGTCGTAGTTGCCGAAATAGGAGAAAAAGATTTGAAAAAGAAAGAATAGCAATAAAAAGACGTGAATAAATGAACCGTTCTAGAAATAAATAGAAAATTTTGAGACTTAAGTAAAACCTTACGTTATCATAAATTTCGTTCCATTTGTATTATCTAAGAAAGGAATGTATTACTTAATGTAAGTGTTGAGAGAGAAAATGAACGGCACGTTCAAGTACACGGATCTTTCCAATTGACTAGTCAAATTAATTAAAACAAATTAAACAATTTAATTAATTCGAGAATGAGAAATTGACGCGTTTAGTTTCTGCTGCTGCAGATAGAAAGGAAAAGGATGGAAGATTATAAACGACGACGATGATTACAGTAAAATTGTTATTTCATTGGTTGAATCAAAAAATGTTCGATTAACGCGAACGATTCAGGAAAATGTACATATAACTATGCTTGCGTGTACAAAGTGTACTTATATGCCTAGAGAATAATACATTTACGGATTTATATATGGTGTATCAATATAGGTAAGGGTATTATTGTTAAAAACAATGACAGTGAATAATAATAATATGGCATTCGACTACCTACCAGCTCGGAGACCAATGGTATTGACTTCCGTCGAGGACGAATATCCGGCATACTGTCAATGTTGCTGTAGAAAGGATTATCACCCGGATGTCTGTAACAAAGTATTACAAAGATACAATTAATTCATATTAGATGATTTATGTTATTTTATGATTAAACAATAAGAGTAGTTGGAACATGTTGTTTTATAAAGAAATGCATTGATTGATCATTTACTAATTTTGTAATAAAAATTATTTGCAAACACATTGACTAATGATTTGTCAATGAAGTTCTTGGAATATATAATTATAATAAATATAAAGAGAAAAAAAATATTAAAAATATATAATTTTATCTTAAAATTGTTTGATAATTGAAATTGTTGCTAAATTATGGAAAACTTCATTTTGTAAAGAAATACATTGATTGATTATTTATTAATTTTTTTCAATAAATATTTATTACAAATTATTTGTAAACACATTGACTAATAATTTGTCAATAATGTTTTTGGAAAAAAAATATAAAAACACAATTTTATCTTACAATTGTTTGATAATTGAAATCGTTGCAAAATTACGATAAAAATTTGTTGATAAATCGGTTAATCTCGATCAAAAGTATATTTTAATACATTAACTTAATTAAAAGTTAATAAAACTTTCGAGTTAAATATATCGCTAATTTCTCACGAACTGAAACATTTGTTCCTCTCTGGTTTTTTTTTTATTTTTCAAAGAAACTCACGAACGTACGTAACAAAAAAAAAAAAAAACCTTCTCGAATATATAAACCATTCTTTAATT